TAGAAATGATAAACAACTAAGTCAGCTAATAGCTCAATGAGTAGCAACATGGATAGTAAATACAGTTTTGAAAACAGAGTTCAATTCCAAAATAAGATATATATATATATATATATATATAAATACATAACAGAAACTAGATTAGCATACAATTTTGATAAAAAATAATCTGTTTTAAAAAGAAGGTTCCACAGTTCAACAGTTAAAATACTCATGTCTCTCAAAAACATGATAAATGACATTTTTCCCTTAAAACAAATTACAACATGAACACCAATAATTTTGTAAGTACCAAGAATAACAAGTAACATGCCACACAGTTCTTGAGACAATAAGCTCATTGGATCCAATATTGAACCAAGAGTCATCCTTGGAATGGCAACCCGGGCCTTTTCTCTAAGACAATCCAATTAAGGTCACCTAGCCTAGCCTAGCCTAGGTCTTTTCCTTACAATTGTTGAGCACTAGAGTCATCACGGCCCAACCCGAATCTATTCCCTAGTGGCCAGAGTCACTACACACAATGGAATAATTTTCCTGAACTAAATTATACAGATGGTCCCAATAATCAATACAATTTAATTTCGCAAAACATGGTAGTTCACCATTAGAAACATGAGACCATAACAAATAGTTTACAGTATGCCAAGTTTATACATGTTTCAGAAATAATTTAATTCCATTGATAATATAATAATTTATCAAAACAATAGCCCTGAAACAACAATTTAATTTTCCAACAGTTCAAGGTAAGGGAACATTTATAAAAATATGTAGCATGCAACTACTCACCTGAAAACGAAATAATATAATCCTCGAATAGAGTATGAAAGTCCAACTAGTGTCCTGAACCAAGTATGAAGGCTACACGTCACTACTAAGTTAAAAATACTAAAGAGAATAATAAACTAAGTACCCCACACTAAAGCGCACTAACATAACTCAACCTCACTCACCGTTACTCTTAAATAATACCTAAGTTCATGTTCTTCAAGGTCTAAAATTACCCAAGACATGGGTTCCAATCGAAACTTAACTAAAAGTAACTTTAAGATAAAATAGAGTTTTAAACAAGTTTTCTCAATCTATTCGCTAACTTTGAATATTAAAAACCCACTCCATGTTTTTCAAAACCCTCTAGATATCAACTAATATATACTAAGTTTCAAACCCAATTGGTTTTACTTGATTTGCTTATCCAAATAATTATTTACAATTAATTACACCCAAACAGGTTGTTTTCTGCAGTACTTTAAAGAAATTAATGGTTCTCTTAGTATATACGAGAAATCAATGCAAGGACAAAAATTTAAGAAACTAGACTCGTAACCGGTTCTAATGACGCTGATTTGATAATTTTCAGATTTATACCCAAAGAGAACGACACTTCCGAAGTTACTGTTTTAAACCAGTTTTCTGGACAGATTTGAACGCAGCAGTTAATATAGATTTTGACTCCCAAAAATTATGAGGAAAATCAGATATGCAATTCAATATGTAATTAATCTACTGTAAAAATTTTAGTCCAAAATTCATTCGTTTGATATGATTTCTTGATTTTTAAAGTTTGTGGTTCTGTGTAAAAAAATTTTGGATTAAGAATTACACTCATTATTTCTCATCACCAATCACTGACTTGGCACCCAAACAACACACCCGTTTCTCCTATTCCTTCCCAACAACAAGCAGATTATACATATGAACCATCACAATAAATAGATATAATAAAATAGAACAATACCTTAGAGTTGTTGACGACCAATATTACCAAAAGTTTCTCTCAAATCTCTCTCTCTCTCTCTCTCCCTCTCTCTCTCCCTCCCTCTCCCTCACGACTGCTGTAATGAACAAATAAGAAGGTAAGGTTTTGTGTATATTTTATTTAATACTAGTGGTTGAGCACACCCAAAGCATGTGTAGGTCTAATAAATAAATAATATACAAAATGTTTAAATATGTAGTAAGCAACTCAAATGGTAAGACCATCATTTATCAAATTGTTGTCTAGAGTTGAAGTCACGCCCTCTTCTCTATTTATTTATTTATTTTAAATAATAAATCTTACTTTTAAATTAAAGACTTTCACCATAAATTTATTTTAGGTTTAAAATTAATTAAAAGACCCTCTAAATATTTAATTTGCACTTTAGAATTCACCATCAAAATATTTGAAATTGTAAAATTATTATTATTTAATTATTTACTTTATTTTTTATATTCGGGTTCTCACATGTACACTCATATACACATGTAAATGTGTTAGTATAAACGCGCGCACGGGCACACACACACACACACACACACATAGAGAGAGAGAGAGAGAGAAAGAGAGAGAAAGAGAAAGAGAGAATGTTTGCTGAGAGAATGAGATACAAACTCATAAAGGGTGAGGGAACTTACGCTACAAACAATAATATTGTGAACCTCTCTAATTACTAAAAGTTAGAGAGCGATGTTAAACTAAATATCCCTGTTACAAATCCAAAATTATTATCCAAAAACATCATGTTGTGGTTAAGATTCATCTAAGTCATGAATCCCATAATATATCAAATCAATCTTAACTTTTGATGCCACAACCACCACTACCTCCGACCACCACCTCCAACCCTCTCTTACCTTAGTGACCGCCTTCTGCCAACCCTTTCTTACCTTAGTGACCACCTTCTGTAGCTTGTCTTGCTGTTGCGACCACTACTCCATAGTCCTTTACCATCGTGATCACTACTCGATAGCTTCTCATTGTCACAACCACCACCCTACAGTCTCTCACCCCTCGCATCACCACCTTACAACCCTCAAAGAGAAAAAGAGAGTGAGAGAGATTCAAATAGCGATCTAGGGATTTTATGGAAGGGTTTTCAAATTTAGAAAAATGAAGAAAAAATGCAACAATAAGGGAAAAGGGGTTAGGAGTAGTGGGGTGATGTGATGGAGATGGTGAGAACAAAGTAGGTGACATGAGAATTAAGAGCACGTTTGGTATGATGGAATAGTTTGGAATTGAATATCCATTCTAGTTTTGCATTCCCTTTCCCTTATTTGGTATGCCTTATCTAAGAATAGTCATTCCGTTGGAATGGCTATTCTGACAAAATGTGAAAATGCATATTCCTTCCTCCAACCTAAGGAATAGCCATTCTATTATATCATAGAATCACCGTAAAACTTTTTTATTATTTTTTTTATTAGCATTTAAAAAAATATTATCATTTAGATACCATCACCATTGCCTTCTCCTACCACCCAGTCCACCACCCTACCGCCACTACCTTATTGCCATCGCAACAACCACAACACTAGCCAACACAACCACCACACACTACAAAAATTAAAGTTTTAAAGACTAAATTATTTTGTAAGGACTAAATATTTTTGTTGCGAAAAGTGTCATTATATTTTTAGTAACGAAAATGGGACATTAGCAATGAATTATTTTCTTTTTGAAACCAAATTTTTTGTCTTAAAAAATATACCTTTTTGAGATCAAATTATTTTTTCCCTAAAAGTGTATTTATTAGTGACATTTTCAAATTTTTGTTGCTAAAAGCCTTATTTTTTACTTTTCGGGACGATCTTGTAGCGACTATCCTTATGGATAAAAATTGGTCCTTAAATGTCTTTTGTAACAAAATTTTTACTTTTAGGGACCAAAAAATTTGACTTCTAAAACTCTTATATATTGTAGTGACACCACAATACTACCAACATCTTACTACCGATGTCTTCACTACTCTCACCACCACTATCGCCACAACCACTACCACCACATCCATAACCATAAAACCACCGCTATCACCATCATTAGAACCACTTCCTTAATTATTACCACTACTCCCACTATCACCATTGCCTCTGCCACCACAATCACTATCTTACCATTACTACCTTTATAAACATCACACACCGCGAAAATAACCACTATACTACCATTGGCCGCCGCCGCTGCTACAACCACTACCTTCACAACCACAACACCATCTTACCACCAATACTAACGCCACAATAACCTACCACCATACTACTATCATTTCTATCACCACCATCACTACAACGACTCACACTATCACTTCCACAATATCAACATTATCTTGATCTATATAAATTTTTAATTTATTTGTTACTAGCTTGTTAAAATAATAATAATAATAATAATAATAATAATAATAATAATAATAATAATTTATTTCATACCATGAGTCTAATAGATATAATCAAACATGAGAATGAGAATCATCTCATTATTCTTATGTCATTCTATGTTGACAACCAAACAATTAATAGAATAGAAATGAACATTCTGTTCCATTCAACCTTATATTTCATTCTTACTCTCATTTCATTCCCATTTCATTTTATTCCATCGTACCAAGCATGCTCTATGGTTTTTTCTTTTCTTTTCTTTTTATTTTTAGAATTTATGCAAATTTGTTTATAATTTTAGATAAAGATGAAATTATAATAAAAGAATTAATGAGAAAAAAATAGGATTACTTGTTGGTATTATGTAGCCATAAATCACTAATCAATGACAAATCTTAATAACAGGGAAAATGATATATTTCAGACCTACTTTATAGATTCAGTGATGTGTCAAGAAAATGATTGGTTGATAATTAGAGAATATTTAATTATTAACCAATCATCTTCTTGACATATCACTGATTTAGAAAACGGGTCTAACTCTTGAGCCTAAATAGTAATGCTCATCTTACAATGGCATAGTAGTAAACTACCCAAATAAAGTTAGCCAAAAAATTATAAAAAATATATATATAGATATTAAAAAAATGTAGCAAGAAATTGAAATAAAAAATACGACTGCAATAGGGGGTGCCAACTAGGCTAGTTGGCCACCATGATTTTTCAAAGGACTTAATCCCTAAGAGGAGGTCATGAGTTCAACTCCCCCTACGTGAGTTGAATTAAAGGGGTAAACACTTACTCAAAACTAACTCTTATAGTTATTAATCTAACAACTAACAACTGACTTTCACCTAATAAAAAAAATAGCTATTGTGTCATGCGTTTCAATGCTTAAATTTAGAGGGAAGATGGATGAGATGATGATTTATATAGAAAGAAAAAACCAAAACAAGCCGTAAAAATAGCATTATATCATTCTCCCTTTACTTTCTTTCCTCCATAGTTTGTTACAAAAGAAGAGAGAGAAAAAAACAGAATGGGCAGAGAGGGTGAGAGAGGCGTGCGTGAGGGCATTCATTTGTGTGTGTATTTATTTATGCTTTGGTTTTTTATGTGCGGTTGAGAGATGGTTTCAGCTTCAAATGGCATAGCGTCTAAAAAGCTTAAAATCCCCCCACCCCATCTTCCTTCTCCCAACAAGCACCACACAATAGAAACAAAACAGAAGTAGGTAGAGCGCTTAATTTAATTCAAGGTAAACACCATCATGGTGATCATACATCATTTTCTGTTTCCAGTCTTTATTTCTCTCCTGCTAAAACTGTAATATAACTCTTCATTGCTTTTTCTTTTTCTTTTTCTTTTTTCTTTTTTCTTTTTTCTTTTTAATTTCTGTCAAATATGTATATTGTAGTGTTTTTGGCCTTCGCGTCTCAAGTTTTTTCCTTACATTAATTTCCATTAATTTCTTGTTACGTCCTTGTTCCGCAATTAATCCAACCATTGCCGGATGCATACAGGTAGATGAATCTATAATATTGGTCATTAAGTATTTTTTTCATCCCAGGGATTTTTCTTTTTTCTTCTTTTTTTTTTTTTTTTTTTTTTTTTTTTTGAGACACACACACACACACACACACACATACACACATCTATACTATTACTTTATATAACCTGTCATCTTGATTTCTGCCTCCTCTTTGTAGTGTGTATGACAGAAACCTCACAAGAAACTAAATTAAATGGAGAGGGAGAAAAGGAACAAGAGAGCAAGAGAATCAGGAAGGGAGACAACAGAATTGATGAAAAATGCAAAAAAGCTAGATCTCACTAGTACTCATTCCGATGAATACGACAAAGAAAACAGCTTCAACAGCAGCTTTCATGATGATCCCAGTAATAACATGACCACTTCTTCTGGAATATTTGATTTTCCATGGTTGAAAGAAGGTATGATATTCAAATCAGACGACACTGGCCTTGAATTTGAGGATGCCTTTGCATCCTGTTCCTGTCCGAGTGAATCTCCCGGACACAGTTTTTGTATGTCTGCAACAACCCTTCAAAATTTTCATGATAATAATAAGATTGCAGATGAGGATGATCTTTGGTCTTTTAAAGTGGACGAGCTTGATGGGACCGATTGGATTTGGAGCTCATTAATACTTGACCAGCCTCTTGCTGTTGGGTTCAACAAGGTCTAGAAACTGAATGACTACAATGTTAATTACTTATATATATATATTTTTATATATTAACTCATAACAAACAAATTGCTAAGAATTCTGATACAAGAAGTTACGAGAAGGTCCGGACACTGGATATATAGCATAGCAGAATTGGTGCACTTCATCATTTTTGCTCACAGTAATTCATTGCTTGATATTTTTTTCATTAATATCTGAATTTTTCCCTAATGATCGATGGGTTGCTACCTCGACGTTGGACACCAAAATACTCTTGTTTTTGTCAATGTATAGCACTACTCTTTCTCTGAGAGTAGAGTCTCTTGTGATTGGAGTACAATTTTGAATTTTGAATTTTGATGCAAGATGAGCATCAAACAAAGATGCAAATTAAGGAAAGGAACTTCTTAAACCTTAATTGTATTCCTATAAATTGCTTTTAATTTGAAAGAAGTTCCGTCTTCGTTAGGAAGGATTGAGTTCATGGCATATCATCCCTTCCCCATTGCTTATTCGGGTGGGGTATGGGGGCAATTGTTGGGTAATTTGGCACAAGAGATATGATATAGTTTATGAAAAATAATGTCCGACAAGTGGTAATAGTTAAAAGATATATGACAACATATAAAAATATAAATATAAAAAAATGTTAAATGAATGTAATATTTTATTAGTTTAATTTTATTGTATTTAAAAAATTAAATTATATATATATATATATATATAAAAAAAAATTTGCACGAAAGGAGACAAAGGACACGGGGGGGACGAAATGGGTGTGGACCGTGTATGCCATTCCTACCTGCCAAACGTAGCTGTTTTCCTTGCTTGAATAGTTGTTGTTGGAACAATATTGGCGGCCATTAAATGCTTGTGATGATAATTCCAAGGTTGCAAGAAATCGGGCCGCTAACCAGGCTTAAGAAGTAATAGTATCAAGCGACTGAAAGAAAAGATGGCGTTTGTTGACTCAATCAAGAAGATTTTTAAAATTATATATATATATATCTAACCAAACAAACAAAATGAAAGAAAAACGTCTCCGCAATTATGCTATACAGCTAGAGTAGAGTGTCCCATTGAAGAAATCTAATACCCAACTATTGATGAAAGATTTAAGCATTATTGCCTTATGCATTACTTGAAACATAAAATAGCATGACAATTTTGCTTTAGATAAACTTGAACAAAATTGTATTGAAATAAAGCAACCCAATTTACAAGATTACTTGACTACTAACTAAGCAAAAACAAGTTTGTAAAATTTGTTGCTTTGTATACAAAATATTAAAATTGATTACAATACAGTCAAGACTGCAAACAAACTAAGTCAAATCAAGTTTATATATATGTTGGGGGTTTGGTCACAACCATAGTTCTAAATCGCGGTATTTGGTAACGTAACGGTATCGATCGCGGAGTATCAATGTCGGTAGTATCGGCCGTTACGTATCGGGAATCGGGTGTCACGGCCGTGAAATTTTAAAAATCATTAGCAATCCTCTAAAACTCAATTTTATATATTTTGTGGACTCTTTTAGCTTTAATTTGTCACATTTTAATCAAAATTTTGATATGTATGAATACTTTTGACTCATTTTCAACTAAATAATATATATTTATTTTAGTCTCAATTATAAATTTTAATTATCTACAATTTAAAAAAAATTCACAACAGTACACCACCAAGTAGACCCATGAGTTGGTTAAAGAAACACATGGCCCAGATTACTCAAAACAACCCACTATCTTCACCAAAATGCCTTGGCCCAAAACTATGAACATACATTTATATAAAATATAAATAGAAAATATATACACTGCGCCCCCATGTCTGTATCATACCTAGCTTCTTGTAGCCTCAAAGTTGCGCTCAACGGCTCACGACCAAAGAAGCATTCTGAAGCACGTCAGAAGCCATCGAAGGACAGCACGACCTCCTCATGAACCTCAAAGCAGTACTCTTGCTTTAGCGAAGACTAGCAATCCAAAACCAAAAACAGCTCGGAGCCACGAGCAGTTTTCTGCGCTGATTTTCAGCCGTACCGGCGACAACCGCCCTGTATCGCCTTATGTATCCGATTCAGGCCGCTACGTATCGGGACTCGGCCGCTACGGCTGCGAATTTCATTCTCCCCGCTATACCGGTCTATATCCGAACCGGCGGTCTGATTTTCCGATATGAATCTGCCGATACGGTACATACCGGCCAATTTTTAGAACTATGGTCACAACTAAGGTTGCATTAGAGGCAACCAACATATGGTGCACCACATCTGAAGAAATCTGGTTAGACCACCAAAGTGGAAAGGATCATATTTCTTATTGGAAAATGTTTTAGATCCACAAAAAATACTCATAATTATACCCACACTAATATGTTATAATATATGATTTGTTACACACTCAATGATATAAGGTACAACTCCCTTACCATATCATTGTGGGTCTAAATTATATAGCATTGCTCGTTCTTATTTATCAACTTGTTGATTACCATGCTGCTCCATGAGCTTCTGCAACAACTTGTTCTCTTCGGAACTCTCTGGATTCATTTATGGACCCTTTGTTATTAATGATGGCCATTGGATGTTCGTGGTCGTAGATAAAAGGGGTGTTAGGAGTTGGTGGGAAAGGATTAAAAAAATGGGCTTTTGGTTCAAAAGTCCAAATTTAGATTTTCTTTATTCAAAGAGCTAAAAAATATTAAATCTGTAAGTATAAACTTATAGAAAATGACCAAAATACCCATTATTCAATCTATTTCTAGAACTTAAGATTTTTTTGCTTTCTCTATATCTCTATCTCTATTTAGGGTTTTAGAGACGCCTAATCTTCTCTCTCCTCTCTCTAACTCCATCTTCATTTAATTGAACAACTGATTTCTTTGTTACGTGATGATCCGATTCCGCAGTGTTCATCGATCTTCCTGATTTCAGTCAAGATATAAATCCAAGCTACTTTCTGTCTATCTCTCTCTAGATCTCTCAAGTTCTTGAGTTAGGTTATTTGGTGATCTAGTGAAGATGCAGATTGGGAGGATTTTGGGACTTTGTATAGAAGATTTTGGGATTTTGTATAGATAGATTTAAACAATAAGGGAAAACAATTGAACAGATAATAAATTTTGATAGATATTTGAACCGATAAAGGAAAAAATTGAACATATAGGGAAAAAATTAAACAAATAAGGAAAAAATTGAACGAATAAATACAAATTTAAACAGATAGGTTCAAAAAAATTGAACAAATAAAAAAGATTTTAACAGATAAATTAAAGGGTAAAATTAGAAACAAAGTGCACCTCTCATCACAATATTTTGCAAGGAGAGTACTCCTCAGAAGAAGAAGAAGAAATTGAACAAATAAAAAATATTTTAACAAATAAGTTAATGGGTAATATTATAAACAAAATATACTTCTCATCACAATATTTTACAAAGAGTGTACTCCTCGGAAAAATAAATAATAAATAAATAAAATCATGGGACCTAATGCCTTACACCTTTCAAATGGATTTTTTTTACCAATTTTCTCAACAAAAATAAATAAATAAATAAGACAGAAATCTTTTTTTTTTTCCATTTTCATTGGGCTGACCGATTAATTAATCAATAAGTCTTATTTTACTCTTAACATTACTAATAAGTCATTTCAATATGGACAATTAAATCCTATTTTTCATAGCATATTTCCAAAAAAGTTCATTGCTTCATAATAGTGGATATTATCTCAATTTTATCCCTCATCTAATGTGAACAACAATTTTATAAATAATTTTAACTTAATTAAAATTTGAAATTTTAATTGTAAAAATTATTAATCTTATACTTATAATTTTGTTTTGAAAAATCATTTAATTTGAACAATTAAAAACAATTTAATTACAAAATTTTAATAAATTGAAATTATTTATGAAATCTTTTGTTCATATTTTAATGAAAAAGATAAAATTAAAATAAAATATATTATTATAGACAATTAAATTGTTTACGTATAACAATTTATAAAAAAAAAAATAAGATTTATTTGTTAATATTGAAATTTGATATAACTCAATAATAATTTTCAAAACAAAATATAACTTTTTGATCATTTTTTATTGTGATTTATGATTTTTTTAATATAATATCATAATTTTTACAATTAAAAAATATTATTTTACTTAGATTAAAAATATTTTTATATTAATGGAGAGGTAAAATTGAGATAACATCCACCATTATGGAGCAATGAACTTTTTGCAAATATGTTAGGAAAAATATGATTTAGTTGCCTATATTCAAATTTGACAAGAATTAAAAGAGTAAAATTGAACTTATCAGTTATTTTTGCCTAAATTAAAAAGGACAAGGTCAAGTATGGTTGGTTTTATTTTTGGGTAAACTACCAATAGATCCTAATAGTTGGACTTAATTCTTATCTTGTCCTATTGAAAATAAGTCTCGATAAAATTGTCGCTAAAAATATTTTTTTTTTGTGACAATTTTTTATATATGTCACTAAAAATTAACAATTAGTAACTTTTTTTGTCATGATTTTTATAAATTGTCGCTAAAAGTTACAATTAGTGACCTTTTTTTATGACAAAATTTTCTCATAGGACCTATTAGATAATAAGTCCACTTATTAGGACCTACGCGTAAGTATTTCTTTATTTTTCTATGTTTATGGGACTAATTGTAATTTGGAAAATAATAAAGGGAGGTACATGTAATTTATCCAAAAAGAAAATAAAACAAAAAAAAAAACAAAAATATATTTATCTATACTTTATATAACGTAAAATCCAAGTTTATATTTTGAAATTTTTACTTTTTTGTATATGGGGAATATCCTTCATAATTTTTCAGGAAAAATTAAAATTCTATGGTAACAGTAAAAAAAATTACAAAATCATGACAAATATAGCATTTTAATTATTAAAATTTATCACTGATTTGTAATTTTTTTAAAGCTACATTGTGGTGTTATTTCTCCATTTTTAAGAGTGTTACAAATATACTCTTGAGCTTTATTTAAAATATGGATTGCTCTCTGTAGTTTTAAAATTAAAATATCTCTTATCAGAATTTTCTATTTAATGTAATTGAAAAAAATAAAATTCGTAACTACTTTTCTATACAATAGTAAAAATATTAAAATTATTACTTAAAATATACTTATGATATAATTAAATCTAATTAATAATTTATTAATAAAAAAATTATTTGTTACGTGTTTAATATTTTAAAGCAACTAGATGTCATTTTTTGGAACTATAAATATATATATATATATATATATATATTTTCCTCCTTCATACGTAAAT